AATCAATGCCATTAACTAAGAATAGCAGTATTTGTTTACCTTTTGATCACAATGCCACCTATTAAAATAATCCAAATGATTTGTGTGGGTTTTATTGGACAAAGACAAAATACACCCTTCCCAAGCCGGATCTAAAAACTCAAACTTTTGGGAAACAAGATTTCACCGTCTGCTGGTGATGTTATCAAGGATGTATCCAGGATTTAAGGAATAGTTCTAAAAGTATACAAATATATACTGTCACGAGTAAATTCCCCAAATGCAACCAGAGACAAAAAAAAACCTTATTAGGAATGACTTATATTTGAATATTTAATTTATTTGGGTATTAGTTGTTGTTTGTAAAAAAATATGATTATAATTTAAATGTCCACATGGACGGTAATACAAATGTGTTGGATATTCTTAAATGTTTATCCAGTTATTGTTGGCTAAATTATAGTCAAATTGTATTTATATATGCTGGATTTAATCACAATATCATAGTTTTAATTGTACATACAGCACTAAGACTTCAAATTCTCAAGTAAAATAAAATGGTACATTATATGAGTGTCCTCTGTGTAAACAATCTGGACACTTTTAAAGATTGAAACAATTAATTTATTTCCTTTTTCTAAATTTGATTTGGAAACATGTTGAAACTCTTATAGTGATGATAGTTCATAAAGTAGGAAATCCTGGCACAGCTGCCTTCAAATATCCACCCCAAAATCTTCACCAGGACAATTTGACATCCAAACATTTACTTTAACTCCTTTAAAACCTGCGTAATATTTTCATTTCTTCAATTTGAGTAATCCGAGATCACACCATGCAGTTTCTCATCTCACTCTGACTCATCCGACTCTTCACTTTGTGAAACATCCGGTCCCGCTCTTTGCACCGGGCTTTGTATTCCCTTTTTGCAAAACGAGAAGCAGTTTTCTCTCCAAATGAATCTCACAAGGGTCCGATCACAAGACGGAGCAGCCTGTGTGTCTGCTGACATCGTGGTGACGGACCCCCCCCCTTAGGAGATAGTCCACATGGGTTAAGGAGCCGACGCGGGTAAATGGGACCATTTGCGCCGCGAAGCGCGACTTCAGTAGTGAAACTATTTTCTGGCGGTGCTAGGGGAAGAGTGGGAAGGTGTGCTTTTCAACTCTTGTGGAATATCCTTTAATCTCCTTTTTGACGCGGTTATGTGAGATTTGTGAAGGAAGTCTCTAGCTTTCCAATCCGAGCATAATTAAGTCTTCCTAAGAGTGTGATATAATTAATCACAGTCGAACTTAGTCTCGTGCTACTGAGTGTTTCTGTCACATCGGATCTGTTTGTTCGATACGCGCGGACACCTTTCGGCGTTCGCCGACGTGTTGGGAATAAGACGAGTGTGATTATGCTACATAATGTTAGGGCGTGGTCGAGAGTTGTGGATGGGTATCATAATAAGAGGGCTATCCAATTGCTCACAAGAAGTGTATTACATCTCAACCCACAATTCTCACGAGATCGCAATACATTAACATCGTGTGATGACCTAAGAATTAAACGAAAATAATCTCATGATAAAATTCGAAGATGAAATAAGATGGAGCAGAAAGATAAAGCGTCGGGAAAATGTCATTAAACGCGTTAAATTTGATCTGACCTGAGATCGCTGTCATGACGTCAATCTAAGAGGTACAGACAAAAGTTGGACACGATACGAGATAATCATGGAACAGCATGTGACATTCATACATACGACTCTCGTTTTTCACATGAAATAACTGATTTGGTGATGTAAATGAGATTACTTTTCAGTAGCGGGGAGCCCCTTGCCATCTGGTGGGAAATCATGAAACCGAATCTGCGAACCTAAGTAAGTAAGTCCTTTGATAATGATGTGAAGGGAAGTTATATTCGAAATTCAATGAACCTCGAGTGGTGGACTAGGGCGTTCATGGGTGTCAGTAAGTTTCGCATCGAACGTGGAAGGTAGCCCCTTGTCCCCGAAAACTGTCTGTCTGAACATTACTATACTCGCTCACATATCCTATTAGTCATTGGGGGTCGTGATAGATTCCTCCAAGAGTGACTTTAGCCATCAGGTGGTGGTTTATTCTATGGTCAAGAGATGTCGAGCAACAGGGAAGGGTTGTTCGGCGCACCGGTTCCTGCCGGCCGGTTCGCTTGCCACAATCCTCTCAGCTCGCGTCCTCTGGTCTATATGCACTAGACCGGCCCCGGGGCGAAGAAGGGCTAGGTCTTCTCTCTCTATATGAAGCAAGGTTCACAGTCTTATTATTATACACTACTACCAAATATCTCCCAACAGACTAGTAATTTCCCGGGGCCAGTGGTCCTAAATTCGAACTGTCTATGAGAGGTTCGACCAATCGTTTTCGTCACCGTCGCATAGCAAACTTACCTCGCGCACATATGCCGCCACCTATCTCGGCCAAATCGACTCGCGTCCACACATTGACATAAACAAAGTTTCACTCTGGTAATGAGGGGACCCGTCTGGTTACCGAGGTCCACATATAATCTGCTGAATAACTCTCTCCAGAAAGACATACTCACCTGGTTCACATGGTCAAAAGGGTAACCCCAACTCGTCCTTTGGCAGGGCCGGAAAAAACGGTAACAGTGCTTACTCCGAGTTCGGGTTTAAGACCAGTTCTACCTCTCCCCCGATTATCGACGGGAGCGCGAGAACCACACAGCGGGTATAGGAGTTATCCTCTATCCTACTACGCCTCTTTATCCTTTGTCGAAAAAGTTGCAAGTATTATTGTTTCAGCTGGGATCTCATGTTCGGCTTCGCGTTTCCCTGTTCACCACTATAAGGGGTAGATATTTCGTGGCATGGTGGCACCCATACCGCCGTTGTCATACTCAGTCCCGGCGTCGGAGTTGAAGATGTCGTATAAATCGGCAGCGTCAGGGATGTCCTCCTTCCTCGTGGGACCTTAACCCCCGGGAACACGACTCTCCCCCCGGCCAAAGTGGTGTGCTCTGGGGGTCGGTTAGGGTTCATGACATATTCCGAGTATGATTCTGTGTCTTTATTTATTTCCTTCTTCGTTTTTTATCATGAGATTATTTGTTTATTTTGTTGATTAACATTGTTTAAATTTTCATCTCTGTTATAATGTGTTTTATCATTATCACTCTTTTGACATTTTGTACTGTTTATGATAATTTCCCTCTCGACACGGTCTAAACTTTTCTCCAATCACACCGTCTTTTCCCAACACGTCCTAAGTACGACTTAAGACTAAAAAGTTGACTTGGTTATTCTCCCTTAGGCAGACTAATGTTTGGGCCGTCTCTCCACTCTAAACTAACTCTCAAAAGAATAAGAAATTTCCCCTTTGCCACTTCCCACCTACTCTCCCCTGTGCTCCGCCCAGAGTCGCCCTTAACCTTGTGACACCCTAAGACCCTAAGCAGTATAGTGTCTGTACCGTACCTATTATGTGACTACGGTCCAGTTGCGCGGGAAAGAAGGAAGAAAGGGTGTGTGTGGTGTGTGTGTGTGTTGTGTGTGTGTGTGTTGTGTGTTGTCGGTGTGTGGGTGTGTGTGGTGTGTGTGTGTGTGTGCCTGTTGAGTAAGGTTGGTAAAGGCCCTTTCTGTGAGGCCCGGGCCGTCCTCAAACGGGGAGAAACCAGAGTCTCAACGTCAACCCCGTTTAAAGAAGGGGACCCGAGTCCGTCTGGGCACGCTTACAGGTGGAGGCAGAGACCGGGGTAATAACGCCGGTACCACCTTTACAGGGGTCCGGACCTTGCAGCCTGTCGCGACTGTTCGGTCGCGTATCACTGCGGGGTTGTGTGTGTGTGTTGTGTGTGTGTGTGCCGTGTGTGTGTGTTGTTGTGTGTGTCGTGTCGTGTGTGTGTGGTGTGTTGTGAAAGGAGACTGGAACAAACCCCAGGTGTGTTCCCCCTACTTTACTCAAAGTTTACAGGTGTAATACATAACTAACTCATAGTAGAGTGCATGTTTAGGGAAACGTCTACATCGGAAACACGTTTTCGGGACCACCCACACGCACACACACACACACACACACACGACACACACACAACCACACACCCACACACACACACAACACCATCCTTTTACGATGTCTCTCGTGTAGTAAGAAAATTTTCCTTCATCCCAATCACAAACTCCTCCCATTCACTGACGTCTTTACTCCCTACCAGAAAATAAACGCCGCATAAACAAATTCCGTGCTCCGGAGCCGAAACTAGTTTTAACCTCCTTTATGTTTTAATTCGCGTGTAAAAACCTGTCGACACCGGTCCTAAAGGTGAAACACTTGATAGGATATTCGTCACTTTTTTCCATTAATTATATTGTACCATCATTTCACAGGACTAACGATTGTCTCCTGTGAGTTATTACGTGAAAACATAAATAAACTTTAAACTTCAAAAATCACGATATACGTAACTTTGACTGTATTTGATTTATGTCGTACATAAAGTAACCCGCGATATTAGTCGCCGGTACGAAACACACTCACACAAGTCTTCTCCACTCTGAGAGACTCACTGACCTCTAGTCACTACCAGAAATACACTAACACCATAAACACAAGATTTACGTTTTCCGTTGTTCTATCG